TTTTGTATTAATCTTAGGAATAACAATATGCGTGGTATCTAGCAGACATGTTACATGCTCGAAAATATGGTTTGCTGTTTTAAAGCATTTCTAAATTTGAATAACATGGTCACCTGCATAGGAAATAATATCCAAAAACTCGTTTTTTCGGTAAATGCTGTTTAGTTATATCCTATTTTAAAGGGTCTGCTGTAAACGTCGAACCAACGGACCATTAGTAAACGTATGAATAAATAGACGTAAATTTAGCAAAATGAAGAGAGACTTTATTCCGCGATATTCAATAAATAGGTAAGGACTAATTACCATATGCCCAAAATATTTTGACTAAAGACAAGTTCTTTATGTATAAAGAAATTGGTTGCTTGAAGTTTTCTACTTAACAAACTATTTAAATTTATTGTTCCAATTTATGCTACTTTGATGTCTCCACAAGCTGGGAATTATCGAGAAAATTTTATTTTTCTTAACAAACACTTAGTGCTTCTTATAGTTCTTTGAAGTACTCAATATGCCTAATGCTGCTCATCATCATTTATAAGTTTTCGTAAATGCGTTCCCGCTGGTATGAGAGAAATAATCAAACATCTACAAATTTAGGAAATTTGCTGGCAGCACTCGCAGAACTGTATTTACTTAACTCTTTATAAAAAAAAAGTGTAAGGACGGTTACGGGGCGGGGGTGCCGGTAAATCTGGATATCTATTACGGAACTGGTGTCACAGGCCGTAATTAATGCTTTCAGCTTCGTGTGGAAGGGGAGGGGAGAGGGCATTTTCATCCCAATATGGAGTGGATTTTGATTTTTCCTGGCCTTTTCTAGTCTAAGTTGAGGCGGTCACCGAACGAAGTCTCAACCGCTGGGACAATACTTTTATTCGCCTGACGTTTCGACGTCTGCCGCGGATTCACCATCAGAGACATTAGCATAGAAAAGAGTAATACATGAACAGAAGTTTGCAGTATTTAAAGGTTACAGTTATTACTGCAAGCGTACATACATACGTCATCCTACACCAACATCGGAGGGCCGGATGACCGAGCAATCATCACACCCGCGTCCGCCGCGCGTTATGAAAGTTCAACAGGTCAGAGCCCGCATGCCGTCCAACAAGCAATCCACGTGCAAGAAAGCAATTACGAATTGTCGCTGTATGTTTGCAGTAATGACTGTATCCTATAAATACTACAAACTCCTGTGCATGTACTACCGGTTTCTGCTACCGTTTCCTGCTAATGTCTCTGATGATTAATCT